CCCGCGTCCCATCCACCTCTCCACCGAGACCGACTGGCTGCAGGGTGGTGATTCGGGTGCCCTGTGTTGTCTGGTCTGGGGTTCGCAGTTAGTTACTGCCTCACCTCTGGTGCTCTTGTGAGGTTGCCTGCAGTTTGCAGGCGTTTCACTCTGGTGCCAGTATCTTTTTACGGCTCTTCACCCGCCTTCCCCAGGTGGTGTCTGGTCTGGGGTTCGCAGTTAGTTACTGCCTCACCTCTGGTGCTCTTGTGAGGTTGCCTGCAGTTTGCAGGCGTTTCACTCTGGTGCCAGTATCTTTTTACGGCTCTTCACCCGCCTTCCCCAGGTCTGTGTAATGTCCCGCTGCAGCGTTCAATGGTGAGTGGTCATGGAGAAATTCCACCGCCTCCCCCTTGCTCTCGCCCATGAAAGCCCATGGCCTCCTCGGGTGGCTGCGGGGCAGAGGCAGGCCAGAGACCAGGGCAGAGGGGCCTGTTGAGTGGGGCCATAGGGTAGGGTAGGGTGGGGAGCCAGCAGGCCCCCCAGGGCAGGGTCTGACGCAGGGAGAACTGAGACACCGGGTTACGTGCACAGTCATTCACACTGGGCTGGATAGTAACAAAAAGTCATTTTATTAACCACAAGCAGTAGGATTTCAGGAGTTACAAGTGAGAACAGGCAGAGCCAAGCAGGTGGCAAGTTTAAATCAACAGTCACCACTTGGCTAATTGTAACACACTCCAGCCTGCTACCAACTCCCCCTGAAACTCTCCTCTTTCCAGCTACGTCTCCACACCGGGGAAGTCCCCTTTCCTGGGGGCTTTCGTTACCCTCTTGGGCGGGGCTACTCAACTCACAGCACATGCCAAGGGCAGCAACTTCAGTGTGGCTGCATAGACATGCACATATATATGCAAATATATACAAATAGCTTCTTTCACTCAATATGACCTAGGCCATCACATGCCAGCAGAGCCCCGTGGCCGTGGGTATTGGCCAAACCGGACAAAGGATACATGGACACAAATCAGGCATCCGAAAAGGACCCTGCTGGGGATGGTATAACCCGCCCCGGCACTCACTGCTGGGTCTCCCAGTCACGTAGCACAAAGTAACTTCAGACACCAGCTGAGAGAGAAACTGAGGCACTGGCCTCACCTGCCATCTGACACCCCTAGCCAGGGACCGAGCAAAGGCCTCCCTCGGCGGGGCCGTCACATGCAGCACCCAAAGGACACCCGACGCCAAGCGTGGGCCCTTCCAGCCCTCTGTCAGCCTCATGTAGCCAGACGGTTTCCTCCTCCCCCTCCCCTCTCGTTCTGCTTTCTGATCCCTGCGCCTCCCCCGCACATGGAGGGCGTGGGCTGTGCCTGTTCCGCTCTAAGGCGCGACAGGCCGGCTCTTTTGTACAGGGGTTATTTTAAATTGCAGACCCACAGGGCTACTCCGTTGAGACTTTCGAAGCCACGGCAGAGAACGCAAAGCTAGGCCCCAGCACCCACTGGGGGAAACGGGTCCAGCCCCCCAGCGCAGGGGAGTCTGTGGGGCCGGCAGCGGGGCAGGGCCGCCCCTAAATCCGGGATCCCGCCGACAGGCCGGCTCTTTTGTACAGGGGTTATTTTAAATTGCAGACCCACAGGGCTACTCCGTTGAGACTTTCGAAGCCACGGCAGAGAACGCAAAGCTAGGCCCCAGCACCCACTGGGGGAAACGGGTCCAGCCCCCCAGCGCAGGGGAGTCTGTGGGGCCGGCAGCGGGGCAGGGCCGCCCCTAAATCCGGGATCCCGCGCTCTGGGACCCTGTTCCTGAGGCCGAGCTGGAGGCTGAATCATCTCCCGTCTTAGCTGTGGGGAGAAAATGGCCCGGAGGCGGCGTTAGCTGGGGGGTAGATTCAGCTCAGGGCTGCCCCGGCCGTGTCCCCCCATGCCTCCCCCCCCCCCGTCCAGCCACC